CAACCGGCGCCTGAGGAACCTAAAATGTCAAAGAATGAGAATCCTAATGTTTCTGGAATTTGAGCATGGACACATGAGATTGCGGACAGGTGCTGAAGGACAAGCGGACAAAAGTAATTTTTCAGGCAGTTACAAACGCTTCTCATCGTAAAGGTCGTGAAATGCACTGCAAATGGTGTAATCGATTGAAAATTAACGGGAAAATGGAGTGCTCTTTTTGTAGATGAAACTGTTTACTTCTTCCTGTAAGCCAGTGTCATCAAGCTCTAGTTTACCGGAAGAGAATTATGAAGGTATGGAGATATACTGCTGCAGGAAAGGTGGTGTAGTTTTATTGGAACTCTGCTTCAGCAAACTACATGAGAACTGGATGGATGTGCAGTTTTCTCTTTCACTTCCTCAGATAAGGGAACGAATCATTATCTTTAGGTGGATTACGGTGGCGAAGCGTTTCCATCTGCACGTACAGTTTAACATTTTTGTTCAAATTAGTTAGAGTGGTAAAAATAATTTGGAATTGGTAGTGAAAATTATGTATTTGGGCATTTTTCCCCTTTAATAACATTATTAGTTCAACGAAATTTTCCTTTTCCAAATTTGACAAACATTTACAAAAATGCAATAGTGAGTGCTGATACAGTGCGATTTTTACTTTTTATAGACTTTTTCTATGCACAGCACGACGATCACACCACAAAACACAAAAAGTTCCTATGAATTTTTACCACTCTGTGAGCTAGCGCTTGTCCGCTGATTGTGTAGTATCGAGTGAGCTGGACTGACAACGGACCAAGATTGTAATCGGCTGTGAATCTCCGAGAAGGACGGCCGTCGTTCTGGATTTGCATTCCAACATTCGATCATTAACCTGAAATAAGGTAATTTTTGTAGTCTTACCTGAAAATCTGCAAAGTTTCCTTAGCTTACCCGTAGATGTTGGTGGGACAATTTGGTGGACATTCCAGAAGGTGCCTATTAGCGATCAATTCGATTACGGTCTGATTCGATGCAGAGCCGTAAGGTTGACGACCGTAACTCCAAATCTCCCACAACGTTACGCCAAACGACCAAACATCAGACGCTTCACTGAATCGTCCCTGTTCCAGTGCTTCCTTGGCCATCCAACGCACAGGCATCCATGAGCGATGCACCATCTATAACATTAGACATGGATGATGTTTAGACTTATCTAATCGATTAGGATTCACCTTGTAATAATCACCATCGTAACAAGATCTCATAAGACCAAAATCAGCAATTTTAATAATTCGCTGGTCTCCAACAAGGCAGTTTCTTGAGGCGAGATCACGATGAACGAAAGACAT